CGACGACATTTCTTTGTTTTTTATTCGTTCGTTCGTTGTTGTTGTTGTTGTTGTTGTTGTTGTTGTTTTATATTTTATTTTGAGAAGCGTATTCACGCCATTTGGCCGCACAGCATCCACTGCGACATCCCCCAGCGCTGTACGTGACTGTTTTATTTGATGATAATGTTGCGATGCCTGCCGGAAAGAACTCCAGGCCGCGTCGCACCGCAGGTTAGCACATTATTTGCATAGCATACATTACAGTGGGCGCTAGTCTTTAAATTTGGTCGTTCTTCTTGCTTAATTTGCGGTGGCTTTGCTGGCAAGTGGCAGCTCGATGGCTCGAAGAGAGGCTCTAGCAGACCTGTGCCCTTGAGCGATGGCTTACACGGCCGCATGGCCAGTCATTTGTCAGCAGAATGTGTCATACTTTCTGGCGCGCACACACACAGGCACACAAAAAGGGCCAAAAAGAAAATGGAAAGAAAACCCAACATGTCGGCTACATTATAAATGCCTTAAGATTTATATGATATCTTAATATGGCTGCCTTGTCGTGCCCAACTCTGCGCATTTCGCAATTTTTTTAGCGCCCGTTTTCGCATCGCAACTCGTGCCATGTCAAGTGGCTATATAAATAATGGTAGCAGTTACTTTGACGTTGGCATTTCAAGTGACTTTGATTTCATGCTTTGCCGATGTTTCCTCCCGTTCTTCCCTTCTCCTGCTGCCATCCAATTGTTTATGAATTCAGAATGGAAAATTGAATAAATCACAAAAGTATAATATTGAATGACTGAACGGCTTACAAATATAATATATCAAGTATATTTTTATTCTTTGAATGGAAGAATGAAAATATTCTAAATACCTTAACTGGCAGCTACTTATTTGGAATTTAAATTTCTCAATCGCATACGGCTTTAAGTTTATTTATACTTGTATTTTGTTGGCAAGAAAGACCTGCTTGTGGATTTTTATTTCAATTTCGGAAGCAACTGAATGAGTTCAATCAATGTCTCCTTAAATAGTATTATAAAAATGCTGGCAGCTCAGCCACTTCATTCTTCATTAATAGAAATGACTTGCGAGCCAATATGTTGCGCTTTGATATAAAATAAAAAGTTATACAAAAATGAACAAACTTTGTTGGCAGCAGACTACCTCGCAATATGTGTCCTCAACGAGAAACTTGCCTTTTTCTAACTTTTTAATAAGGTTTTAGAATTATAGCGCAGAGTTTTTCAAGTAGCTTAAGTGACGGCACAGCAATCTTCAAAGTTGAGCAAAATTATGAAATTAATGACTGAGAAAGTTAGTTGCCTGGCTAAATTAATTCGACGCTTACTTTACTTGTACAACTATCGACTTTCTCAAGGAGGCTAAGAATTGGTACATCGACATATTTTGGCGCATAACGCAACTTACTTAAAGCCTGTTTAAATGCTTTTCTTATTAGCCAGGCGAGGTTTAATACCATTTTGAATTTAAGGCCAGCCCTGCAAGTCCCAACCTGTTTGCAGTTTTGCACTTAATTTCAAACAAAGTATTCGTGTCTATAACTGCACCTTGCATGTTGTTTTTTAGTTGCCTGCCAACAGCATGTTTAGCTTGCTTTATAAACGCACACATAAAAACTATCTTTGCCTGTGTGTATGTACACAGCCCGAAAAAAGAAAGTTATTTGCACAAACTAATTTCAAGCAAAGACACAATGTAGGCTAAAGCAATTATTTGGAATAGACTTAAAATTGATTTATGAATAACAAGTAAAATGCTGGTACCATCCTCAGAAATTGTATTCAACATTACGAAGCATTTGAATCATTTTTAGTTCAAAGATGAAGAAAACTTACTACTACTTCTCATTTTCATTTCGAAAATGATCATGGACAGAGATGAATTTAAATGACAAATTTTGAAAATAGTATATGAAAGGTTGTGAAAAAACAAGCTCCACAGGTTAAACTGATCCTGGAGTTCATACAGACAATCGGACATCTACAGGAGAACTACTTATATTAATCCATTAATTAAATAATTTAAATAAAATAGCCCAAAGGAAGGAATATTCAGAAATCATCATAAATGTGAGCATTATTCAAGTATGATGTATGTATGTATGTATACATCATGGCAACTAAAATTCTAATTATGCTGCTTTAATGAGAATAGAGTAGAACATAAAATGTTGAATTAAGATTCCTATTGACTTCAGAATTTCATTTGAAAAACTGCAAAGTCTAAGTGTATCGATGAACCCATACTATCCTCAAAAATCATTTCTACAAGTATGTAACGTTATTCCCCCCAATTTCATTACGTATAGAGTGAATGAATCCTGATTCATGTTTCGATTTTAAGTTGGATTCAGGATTCCATAGCGTTGCTTTTCTCTCAGTGTACGCTTGAAAACACAAAGGCAGTCGTCTGCAAGTTTCTTAAATTGCCTGCCTCACTTATCATATTTTACTCATTTCAGTGTCCTGCCACTTCCCAACTCATCCATGTTGTACGTACATATATATTATATATACATATGCATATGTATGCATGTGTGTGTGTGTGTGTGTATACACATATATCGCATTAAAATTTATTTGCCCACTTTTAAATCATTTAAGCTGCATTATATTCAGCCCACGCGTTGCAGACGCCCCCAACTCAAGTCGCATGCCAAAAGCGAAAAGTTATGCGACGTTGTTTGCACAAGCTGCAACTGCAACACGAACAACAACAACAACAACAGTGACGGCACTGTATCAACAACAACAACAACAACAGTTTGTGCTGTTCCTGTTGCTGTGGCAGACGAGGCAGCCACGCTTTTTCATAAAGTTTCATATTTATATTTATTTTATTTCCGTTGTCTTCCTTTTTTGGGCACAAAAACTTATTTTTGTTTTCACTTCCATTTCCTGTTCTGACAGCGTCACAGAAAAAAAACATTCCACTATATATATACATACCTACATATAGCAATAAAAATCCTTTACATGCACACACACGCATATATATTTATATATATATGTATATATGTATGTGTATAGGGGTAGATATGTACGTTTGTTTTTGTTTCTTTTGCTGCACGCCGGCACTCTCTTTTCACTTGTGCTATTTGTTTTGTCACTTCCGGCGGGCGAGTCGAGAAAAAAATGAAACCGGAACGCCTGCCCGCACTTCTATGACTTTTTTCGCATATTTACGTATCGCTCTCTCTCTCTCTCCCCCTTTCTCTAACTTCCTCTCTATCTGCCTGCTTTACGCCTTGTCTGAGTGTTTGTCATGCCGTTTTGCCGTGTTTTGTTTGTTGGCTCTTGCTACTGGCGCTTATTAAATGTCACAGTGCGAATTCGCCATGGGCCACCCTTGCTGCAGCTCATCAAACAGCTTCTACCGTTGCCTGGAGCACCGGGACTCTCCAGCCACCCCGTTGGCCCCAAACACAATGGCACTTGTCGTGATTTCTCTTTGTTTGCATCGCTATGTTTTTGCTGAGCTTGTTAGTTCCCTTTGTTGACTCGAATCTTTTTTCAGTTACCTAGTTACCCATCCTTCTCTCTACCCCCTGCATGCCATGCATCACACATTGGGATGCGGTAACTATATCATTGGCAAAATCAAACACCTTTGGCTGTTAACTGCAAGCAGACTGTTTACAGTTTGCTTACCGGGCCATTAAGATGAATTACGGTTACTGCTTTGAGCCTGTTTTAAGATTCATTTGACATATATTTGCTTTTCTTTAAGCCATTGTGCCCTAACAAAAAAGCATTGCATATTTATGAGCGTTCGCAAGGCTTTAAATATGGGTTGAGCTCCAGAATGTAGAACAAACATTTCTCCATGGTTCTTATTTTCTTGTGCTATAGCTTTAGAATTGAAATACTTTTTAATTGTGAAAAGGCTTCTGCTTCTTTTTGCTATCCCCATTTGTTTTATTTTATTCGAATTGCTGTAATATTCTCTCTTTTTTTGTCTCCTCAATTTTTTGGATTGATTCAAATTGAATGCTTTTCTCAATATTTAACAAAATTGCTCTGTCATTCTGAATTGTTAAAGGCCGGTTGTTGTTTATATTTGCTTTTAATTTATTTTCATGCCCCGGCAAATCAATTAGTAATATTTTTTTTCATGCATGTATTATTTTTAAAAAAAAAGGTCCAAATAAACAGTCTGAAACTTTTTCTATCCAAGTAAAAACACAAACAACACAAAAATTGTAATTAAGTTGCTATCAAATGCAATTCTCCAATTAAAGGCAAAATCTGCCAACGGAAAGTTTTGTGGCGTAAGGCAAATACTAGCAAGGCTCCAAATACGACTACGAGTATTAAATTAAAACAAAATTGGTGAAAGCAGCAAAGCCACAACGCAGACAAGCTGACGGACAGAACAGCAATATATATGTATATATATATATACTCATATACAAACGCACTAAATAAAATGTTGCCTCAAGTGTTTTTGAGAGTTGTTGAAAGTGTAGAAAAAAAAATGGCAGCAGTGGAAGCAGACTTTGTAGCTTACCCGAGGGCTCAGCAACTTTGTGTGTGTGTGTGTATCTGTTATTGTAATTGTAAAGGTGTGTGTGTGTGTGTGTGTGTGGGTATGCCTGGCACTCGAACGACGCCCAATAGATAGCACACTCGGGCGCAACTCGAGTTTCAATTAGAGAAATTAAATGTTCTTATAAGATTCAATTTATTTCTAAATAACTGAGGCAGCAATAGACAAACACAACACGTACTTGCAACACACACGCACACGTACAGAGAAGCTACAGCCAGCAGCTATGATGGCGAGACTCTTTACAACACAGCACCAATGGGGGTCCTAACCAAACCAGGAGGCTGCAAAGCATCATTTGTCCTTGGCTGCCATCGACGCCTCCGGCCCATTTCATTTGCAGAACAAACGACTACACACGAGTACATACAAGTACTACGAGCCACTACTGCTTAGCCATTCAATTTGTTTACCTGTTTCATGTTTGCCATTTCTGTTCTTCATTGCAGAATTCAGCCGAGCCCGTCTACTCGCCCACCATGGCTGGCGGCCTCTTCTCCATCGACCGTGAGTTCTTCGAGCTGCTGGGCACCTACGACTCTGGCTTCGATATATGGGGTGGCGAAAATCTGGAGCTCTCCTTCAAGACATGGATGTGCGGCGGCACTCTCGAAATCGTCCCCTGCTCCCATGTGGGTCACATATTCCGCAAGCGTTCTCCCTACAAGGTATGTGTGGATTTATATGCTGACAACTGACAGCTGGCAAATGGTAAATGGCAACACAGGCCCAGAGAATGTCGATTTGTGTAGCCATGCCAGGTTGTTGGCCATTGACCAAAATGGCCCGCAGGCCAGGCAAACCAATATTTATAGACAAACACAATACTGGAGCGTGACCCACCCTGCCCCTGCCCTGCCCCTTCCCCTTCCCGCTCCCTGCTCATTAACGCCGACGACCGCAAGCATTTTAAACTTTTACACAACGTCCAGCATCACGTGCTTGTGTGTGTTCTGTGTATTCTGTGGATGTGGATGTGGACAGGCAGCGACAGTTTCCTGCACAGCTCCTGCTGGTCACCAACGAATGCGGTCTGTCCACATCAACATATACATATACATGCACATGCACGTACACATCGACATCTACAAGCGCCTGTGCAGAATGTCGCTTGTGTGGCTAGCAGAAACAACAAAAACTGCAGCCATGACAACAACGGCAACAACAACAAAAACGACAAAAAAAATGGCTACGCTTCTTCAATTATCAACGGTTTACGGTTGATAAAAGTTTGGCAACTGTTTTAATGCCAGTGGCATAGTCTAAGCCGCCAGATAGGGCCGAAAGTTTGCCAGTAACGCACTAAACAGACACCTGCCAAGCAACTCCTGGCATAGCAACGGACTACGACTTTAGTTAAGCCAGCACACACGAATAGACTAGTCGATAATATTTTCAAACAAAACTCAGCACGCACGGACGTCTCTCTCCTCTTTTATATTATAGTATTTTCCAATGATGACCTCAAACACTGAATGACACTATTTTCTAATTCAAAAGGTTATTCCTTTACCAATAGAAACTAGACATTATAGTTGCAGTTCTTTTTATAATCATTTCAGATACGATTCTTTCTTTTTGTTCCAATCTCTGAATACTTGTTGATTGAATGGCAGATAAAATTCCAATATAGAACGGGTAACACCAAAACTTACTAAAAGAAATTTGGAATATGGGGATTAATAGTTAGTGATCAGTTAAACTTAATGCTTTTTGTAATTGCAAATAAGTGTGATTGCTGAATTGCATATTTTATTTGTGTGTTCTTTTTAATAGCTTTTAGTATTACAAGTATAAATAAAACTTTTTTCGGTTGCTGTTTTATGTTATTTTAGATCTCTTAGTACGAACATCTTAAGAAGAAATAGATAATCGTTCTTATAAGTCATAGGGCACCTAGGGTTCTCCCGATTACCTACCGTTGCAGAAGAACTGCCGTTAATAAATGCAAAGAAATTGTTGTATTCTCGGGATTATGCTCAGTACTTTTATTTGATATCTACCCGCGTATTAAAAATATCGCCACGCCTTCTGTTTCAATTTTGATTAATTATAGACTCAATTGTACCTTTGACCACTTATCCCTAATATTTGCTTGATTGCTTTTCTTCAATCAAACATATCAAGCTATCATTAATCACTGCGTTAGGAGTATATGATAGAGTAATAAACACTTAACGAAATTATCTGCTGACTGCGCACAATATTTCAAAGCTCTTTCAAGCTCTGAGAACGCATAACTTAACTTATTTTTGAAGGATGTAGTATATGCTTATATATTGTGACGTTGTCTTTATTACACTATTAATTAAGAATATTGCCGATCGATTATTAATTAGCATTACAGTGTAGCCTCTATCTTAGCTGGCCCAAGCATGTTTACTTCATGAAAATGGCAACGGCAAGGGCTGCAAAGTAAACAAAACTTAATACATAATAAGCAGACACACAGACAGACTTACACGTACATACAAACAACCCACCTGATTGTCCATAAACAGTACGAAACAGAGACACTGCCCATTGTATTGCCGCGCCTGGAGTGGCGCCACTAAACAGAGCTGTTCATTCAGGTAATTAGACTGGTGTGTGGCTCCCAACCAGAATCCACAACACCAGCTAACCAACTCCAGCCCATTGTCTGGGCTGCATCTGTTTGGTCGCACAATATTTTCACCGGCCGGCACCAGCAGATTGCTTTTGTCATTATTATGGCTGCTCCTGGTAACGACATTGCATTGTTATTGCTTTTTGCACTCAAAGGACTTAGGGCTTATAGGGGTGCTGGCTTTATTCATCTTGCAGGCGGTACATAAAAATATCTTGAATTGAAAGAGATGCAGTTACAAATGCTGCAACATTTTTGCGGGAAATTTTGAAAGAGTTGAACAAATTAAAGTCCGATTTCAAGTGGAACATATTTTATGCTTTATCCGATCGAGTGCATGCACCTTTGCCCCATTTCAAGACCGATTTGTGATGCTTATGGAAAGTGATTCAATTCAGCGAAGCTGAAAGGTATTGGAAATATTTAATGTATCTTGTTGACATCAGGTTTAACCTATCTACTCTACTTTTTACGAGTATACATGCTTATACGTTTTTTATGGGACTGCATTTTTGGGAAATGAACAACCTGCATACACATGAGCAGAACTATTGGCAATGGAAACCAATTCAGTAACATACAAGTGAAAGTTAGAATGTAAAATCCAGACCAATTGAGTGGATACACTCTACAATAGATATTATATCATATAGTAGCCCCATCTGCTTAGCTAATATCAATATGTGTAATAATCTTCATCAGGTTAGCAACTGGAACTAACGCTTCACAATTCATTCTTTTTTTTTTTTGTTTGCTATTTGCAGTGGCGTCAAGGCGTCAATGTTTTGAAAAAGAATTCCGTGCGCCTGGCCGAGGTCTGGATGGATGAGTATTCCAAGTATTACTATCAGCGCATTGGCAACGACAAAGGCAACTTTGGCGATATCAGCTCGCGCGTAAAGCTGCGGTAAGTGGAACCCCAAAGCCCCTGTTGCACCATCAGGAAGATACGTAATTTATTGTGCTCTCTAATATACACAGCGAGGACCTCGGCTGCAAGAGCTTCAAATGGTATTTGGACAATATTTATCCCGAACTTTTCATACCCGGCGAAGCAGTGGCCCAAGGCGAGGTGAGTTGCATGTATTGGTTTGGTGCACCCAGAATGTGGCAGATGGCTACTCCCCCCAGCCCCCAGCCCTACCCCTTTTAGAACCAAAACTGAAACACTAACCAGCGAACAAGAGGTAGACAATGAGCAGCCTATGCAAATAAGTACTTATGTTAGATCCCACGAAGAGCAAAACATTTCCAGATCCTAAGCTAAATGCAACCAACCCGACCCCCGACCCCCCAATGTTTTTCCCTTTCGTTTCGCAGATAAGAAGCTTAGGTTATGGCGGTCGCACCTGCATGAACTCGGGAGCGGACAAACGCGACCTGATGTGGCTACCGGTTGATATATACCCCTGTCATGGCCAAAATGGCAATCAGGTTGGTTACTTTCCAGAAGCGGCAGAGGCGTTAGCTTCAGCAGTTCTGCGACCGCCACAAACTCCGTTAAGTGCAGCATTTGAAACGAAACTGATGAGGGGGGCAGTGAATCCTTCTAGAACCCTACTCTTAGAAACTGATGCTACAGTATTGTGGGAACCAAATGGATAGATAGAACTCGAATTGTAGTGGCTTGATCACTGCTGCTCTTATAGCACCTTCTTGTGGAGATCAACTCTGATTCGAATGTCCCCAGTCAATAGGCTGTACAGAGAATTTCCAGAGGGAGGGAGTTATGTTCAGAAATGACCAAAATTGAAGAATTTAAACTGTGAATAATACGATTTTGTAACAGAACTTCGGATTTCTAGAATCCGATCTCGCTTTCGATGAATGGTTCGGTTTTAGTTGGCTTAGACAGCTCAAAACTTTATCCAGGGGTAGTTAGCAGTCCTGTCAGTGCATATCTAAGAGATTTAAATAATAAATAAATAAATAAATTTAAAAATGATGTTATACTTAGGAATTGAACGATTATTGCTGGTCTTACCACACTAACAAATTTCGAATTCAGTCATTCTCAGGGCATTCTCATATGAATTTCACTAGGTAGTCTTATCGAAAAGTATTACTCCCCAGAATGTAGTTCTCAAATTCCACAGCTCGAGAATATTCTTTCTTTAGTCTGTCACGTCATGGGCTTCTAGGTATACGCACACCTAACAAGTTAATATAATTTTGTAGCCCCTTGGACACGGAATACATATTGCAATTTTCAGATCACGTGTAACGAGTTATCGTACTATATATCGTATATGCCTGCATCGCCTAACTTTGGGCTTGAACATTTTCTTCTTCTATTTTGTGTTGTAGATAAGAAATTTAGGCTATGGCGGTCGCACCTGCTTGGATTCGCCGGCGCACAAGCGCGATTTGAAGAAGGCGGTTGGTCTCTATCCGTGCCATCGCCAGGGTGGCAATCAGGTTTGTTATTTCGCAGCAGCCATGCGACCGCCACAAACTCCGTAGAGGCACAGAACCGTAAAGAGATTTATAGCCAGAGTTAAATGTTAAATGCAATTTAAGCTCCACCAACAATAATACAAGTACTAACCAACAAACTTAAACGCAAATTATATACGTATACTTATTATGGTGCGGCCAAGCGCATAACTTTTCAGCAACTCCACTCCACTCATAATAATCGTACCATTGCCACTAACTTTTATCGCCTCCTGCAACTACTACCACTACTACTACTATCCTACGAAAACAACTAAAACAACATCAGCAACGAGTTGCGTTCTTCCTCTTAACACACAACTTGCATTTTGATTTTTTTTATTTTGAACATATACATACGAACTTAATTTGCAGATCGCGAATCCAGCATCAAAAATGTGCGTGGATTCGCCCGTAAATTTACACACGGATTCCGCCGTGGGTGTCTACGGTTGTCACGGTCAAGGAGGAAATCAGGTATCGCAAAACACGGCCAGCTACAGAACACTAAGCAGCTGACAATAAGAGCATACATTTTTGGCTTTTGTTCAATCCTTTTGTTCACACCTATTTTCTTATGGTTATTGGCCTCAGGTTTTGACTTTAATTGGTTTTTATGCGCTTCAATCTTTTATGCTTTTCGCTTTCGCAACTTTTAGTTAATTATTAGTTATAGTTGTTGTTTCAGATTTAATTCTGTTTTCAACTCTTTCTGCTTGCATTTTTTACACAACACATACAAGTTTTTTTCATATGCTAGTTTGAACCTGTAAAAATTTGTTTGTAAATTCTTTTTTCATTTATGTGAGTTTTTCATGTATTTATAATATGTATAACATATGGAAGTAGTTTGTTTTTCACAGCTGCTGTAGCAAAAATATTGTTGGTACTTCTTGTAAAATTAGTCCGTCCCTCCAAAACTCGTCCAAATGGATTAAAGTTGTGCTTCGAAATGCCATTAAGATGCATTACCAGACATGTTTCGTTGCCGAATAACAAGACTCTAAGAGTTTTTATATGAAGACATCAACTTATGATAGCTGCCCTCAAACTGGGGTCTCTTTCCTTTGACGCAACAATGTCGAATCTATTCTTAAGATTTGTATGTTTGGTCCTAATTTCCAAAGCCTCAAACAAATGCTTTTTTTTCGATCTATGTATCACCAACACATGCTTGTTTTTAATGAGCTGTGAAATTAATAACGCCTCTTACTTAGTCCAATTATATGGACCGTAAATATAGAGCTCTCTTGGCAATGCCTTAATTCTTCAAAAGCACAAATAAAAAAAAGGTATTTAGAACTATCATTCATACATCAAATTCAATTTCTTTTCATTGGAATATTTCTTTTATTGCGTTTCTTATGCAAGGGCTATGTCTTTGGTTTTGTTAATATCGATGCTTAAACTAAGTCGTTGGTATGTGGAACTTAAAATTATTAACATTTTGATGACCTTTGTCTTAGTCCTGCGGTTTTGAGCACTAATTTCACGGAGTTTGTGGCTACATAAATGTTTTTTATGCTGAACATTGTTAATTATTTGATTAAATAAACATTTAAACATACACGTAAGTTTGCCAACTCAAAGTCAAAAGTTGCCTTATCCGGTCCAAAGAACGAACACCTACACACGCACACTTCCACTCACACAAACACACACACACACACACACAGAGAGAGAGAGAGAGCAACAAATAGAGAGTCGAGCTTGGTAATAAGATTTATGCCAAAGTCACAAATTTAATTAAATCGCAATCATAAATAAAATGCAAAATGATAAATCAATTTCATGGATGCGCAGCGTGGCGTAAAGTTTTTACAAACCAACAATTTTCCAACATTTAATAACAAGCTTTTCGACAACTAAACAACAACAGTGCAGCGACACCAGCCCCAGCATCAGCAGCACAGACAACAACACCACCACCAACAACAACAACAACAACAACAATGGCGGGCAAATAGAGTGAAACATACAACAACAAAATAATAAAAATAAAATAAAACTGAACACGATGTGTACACACAGATGAATGTATATTCAACATTAAATGGAAAGTGTTGACCTCGTTTTGCCCTGTTTGCAAAAACGGAGCGCAAAACGCACGAAATCGCCAGACTGCGAACCCCCTACCCCCTACCCCCTTACCCCCTCACCATCTCCCCCACCCTGACTCCTGAACCGCTAACACTGCAAACTGAACGCAATGCAACAACACCAGCCGAACAAACAACGGCAGGAGACAACAAGACACAAGCTTGAATGAGAGAGTGGTGCACACATCAGACTATTAAATACTCTAATACTCTAATCTTCAAATCTATATATTGTGATGGTAGCCACAGATATATTGATATGATTATGCAACGAGGAAAAACTAAGAGTCTACGATCTATTTGCAATCTGCGATCTATTTGCCGTGGATGATTTCAATTCTGTTCGAGCTACAAATAGTGTTTTGCAAACAGCTTAGGAAACTACTCGGATCTCTCCAATTCAGCCCAATTATTTATTATGAAATATTCGCAGAAGAGCTAAAGACTTATATGCAGATCTAATAACAGCCGAGAAGGGCAAACAAAACTTTTCAGATTATAAATGAATTTCAAACGCAATTCCAAATTTAAAGGAGATCCCTTTTCATGTCTCTTTAATTATTAATGTCTGTCTACGTATATATACAAGCTACATGAAAACAAAGCATTGAAAAATGATATTATATGAATGATATGAAGGCATTCATGGCCGACATTCTTTTGTGAATAGCTTAGGAAACCACTCGGATCTCTCCAATTCAGCCCAATTATTTATTATGAAATATTCGCAGAAGAGCTCAAGACTTATATACAGATCTAATAATAGCCGAGAAGGGCAAACAAAACTTTTCAGATTATAAATGAATTTCAAACGCAATTCCAAGTTTAAAGGAGATCCCTTTTCATGTCTCTTTAATTATTAATGTCTGTCTACGTATATATACAAACTAAACGAATACAAAGCATTGAAATATGATTTCATATGAATGATATGAAGGCTTAGGATAGCTTAGGAAACCACTCGGATCTCTCCAATTCAGTCCAATTATTTATTATGAAATATTCGCAGAAGAGCTAAAGACTTATATACAGATCTGATAATAGCCGAGGCTCTGCTCCTGTGAACTCGTATATGAGTTGGCCTGGGATGCTTGCCTCTATGGGTGCAGGGCATGAAAAACGTGAGCGCACTCGAAAACGCTGGGCGCTGAAGCCGTGATGGTGCTCTGTTAGGGAGGGGGGCTTGGTAAAAGGAAGCTGGGTGGTTGCCAGATAAAATAATCAACATTTGTTGGCATGGGCGGAATGGGCATGGTCGCGTTGCTTTTTTCACGCAAATTTTAATTTTGCACATCGTAAAATTTGCATGGAACGAAACGTGAGAGTGAGGGACCCTTTCTTCTATGCATGCGCCGCTTAAGTGGGCGGTGGTGGGCAGGTTGCGAGAGGATTGGTGTGGCATTGTGTGTGTGTGCCTTTGAATATGCGCACGTCAAAGGATCGCGCCGTCATCGTCGTCGTCGTCATCGTCATCGTCCTCGTCCTCGTCGCAAGGCAAAACGCTGGAAAATGCAACATAATGAAAAATTTCATATAAACGCGCCGGGCGTGTGCATGCTAGACAAAATTTGTTGTTGGGCGCACATAAGCAAAAAAGTTTCTCTACAGAAAGAAACCACAAAAAAATTGCTGGAAATAAAAACTCTGTGCGAAAGAAATATACTATATACCGGAACGTAATTAAAAATGCATCATAAAAGCTGAACAAATAAAATATTAAAGATGAAATCCACGTACAAATAAAATACGCAATTTCGAAAAAAAATCAAGCCATAGTATACACGACCACAAATTACATTTTAAAAAGTTGTGATGGAAAACTCTACAAACTCTGAAGTTAAGAAATAATTCGCGTATCAAAAACTAGACAAATAATGGCATCTTTGTGTTTTTAAATACCTTATACCAACTTTCCTGCGGAAGCAATCTTTCTCTCTCAGAAGCCAAGCCATTAAGACTTGTATGCCTGAAAGAAGTGTTTTCTGTTCCGGTAATGCTACAATGTACCGTCTCTCAGATGTTAGCCTTACTCTAATAAAACTTTTTTGTTTAAAACTTAAAGAAAATGCGTTGCAATAACGTTGTTTAAACAGCATCGTGTTCTATCCTCGAGCACAGCTAATAGCGAAATAATAAAATAAAATAAGAGCAGCGACATGGCTACGCGCATCATTATAAATAAGAGAAATAACGTTGGCATCAACACGGAAACGGAAATGGTAGCACAAAATGGCGGCAGCAGACGAGTCGGGCTGGCCAGCTGGCAAGCGAGCAGCCATAGAAAATAAAAGCCGCACAGACAGGCTGGCAGACAAATAGCAGGCCAGTCCGTCGGACAGCAAGTACCGTGGTTTAAATAATAAACAATCATGGTCAGCGGGCAGGCAGAAGCCACAAAACACACACACAAACACACACACGCCACATACAGAGACATACTCAGACAAATGGACGGACAGACAAACTAAAGGACGGAGATACAAATGTACGGACGGAGTAAGCGCAGCTTTGGCTTTTAATTAAATATTACATAATAATTAGTAATGTGGATAGAGCTGTAACAAGCAACTTACGAGTAAAACAGATAGAATACTTCTGACATGCAAATTAAATGCAGCGTTGAGTGTTAAAATTTTTAATTCCACTGCATTTCGTTCCGAACACAGTACTGGCTGCTTAGCAAGTCGGGAGAAATACGTCGCGATGAGGCGTGCCTGGATTATGCCGGCAAGGATGTGATGCTGTTCGGTTGTCACGGCTCCAAAGGAAATCAGGTGAGTACTGTAAAAAGATAGACTTGGGAAAAGTGCCTGAATTCACATTATAACCAACGGATTTTTTCCAAGATATAAACTGCAAAAATCTGCCATTTATTTAAAAAAAAAATGCAGGGAAACAATCGTGTCCCACATATTGGACAATATTTACTAAAATCGTAAAAAATGAAACAAAAGATCTAATTACTTATGTTTTTTTTTTTTTCATTATACAAAAATATTTTGGCAATATCAAAATATTGCTTCAAAGTAAAAGAGAACTGCATTACTTCTATCGAGAATAATTTATATATAAAAATATTATTTTTGTGCAGATGAAAAAATGTTTGTCCCAAGATCAAAATTGGCCTTTCTCTTCTCTGCAAATTCAAAAGAAAATCGACTTTTGTGCTAAATCTAAGAACTTATTTTTTTAAAAATTTGAATTTAAATTTGAAAATGAAGTAAAGTATTTAATTAAATTACAAATAATTATGTTCTATGTACAGGAGAAATGTTTTCAATTAACACACTATTTTTTCTTTTCTACGGCATAGTTCTGGAGCTACCGCGAACAGACGAAGCAGCTACATCACGGCTCCTCAGACAAATGTCTGGCCATTAACGAGCTGAAGAATAAGCTGATCATGGAGGAGTGCAACGCGACCTACACGCGCCAGCAGTGGAAGCTCGAGAACTACGATAGCTCCAAGTTGTGAGGCTACTTCTATGCGAACGGCACCATCCTGGTGCCGACTTCGCAGAGACGTCGCGTATAGCGGACGTATAAAGAGATGTAAATGCTGAATGAATATGAATACAAGGGCGGAGAGCAGGAGTTGTGCAATATGCCGATAAAGGAAGGAGAAGGGGAAAGAAAATTGCCATGGCTTTAAATTATCAACTTGTAGCAAATAATCTATATATACTACATATAGGACTTATATTTTTAATTTTACACCTAATGTACCATTTTTTATTTAACACGGACCTTTTCAAAACTAACGCAAACACACAAAATGAATGACTGTTGTACAGTAGACTGTAAGGATTTGCATACACAATACAAAACTAAGGCTATTGTAGGAATTTTATTAAAGGCACCACAAAAGGTGGTAAAAAAAAATGAAAAAAAAAAACCATTTAAAAATAATAGACGTACGAAAATATCATAAGCGAGTCGTAGCGCAATTTTTGCATTTACATGTGGAACTTTTAGCACAATTTTGAAGCATTAAGAACATGTAACTCATGTGTTAGACATACATATGCATTAGGTACTAGCAAAGCAAGCGTTTATTTACTATTACTACTTGTATCTACTTTGTTTGAAAAAGAATACAAATATTAATAATGATAATGATAACTGAGCCTCGTTCCAAATACCCGCTTAGGCTAACTACTTACATTTTCCGTCAATTTTTGTCGTTGATTGTTATTCGTATGGAAAAGCATTTGGTGATAGCATTAGACTTTCCTATGCTTCATATGTGAGACAGCATTCCTACCTAAGTCTTTAAACTACATATATGCTGTATGTGTATCTTTTAATTTTAGATATAAGTGTGTGGTGTACCAAAATTCGTTTACCTTTATTTGTTCTGTTCTGTTCTTTTCATTTTGTTCTCTGAGCTGTATTTATCTTTGTTGCATTTTAAAATCTTACTTTAGAAATTTCATTTATTTACCACATTAGTGCGTTTTCTTGCCAATAATCAATGAAATCAGAAAATCATTTCAAATATATAGGTTTTTGATTGGAAATTGTGTTGTCAATTTCTCTATTGTGAAAATTATATGCATGCCAAATTATTTAATATTTAATATTTACATACAATACGACAACATATCCCGTTTCTGAAACTGCGCCAACATGTCTATCGGTTCTGTTGAGTGTGTGTTTTTAAATAAATATCGTATAGATAGTACTTACTAGTACTTAACGCATACAAATCAAGTATGCTATAGTGCCTTCTACTACTTATTGTTAAATACTAAATAATATTAAAGAAAATGCGATCATATGAAAAGCAGTTACATACCTACAAACATATGAAATATTGTTTACTTAAATCCGTAGTTAAACGGCTTAAAACACGGCGACTGTAAATATGCATTGTATGTATCAATTAAGCGCATATCGTTAATGTAAATACACATACGAGTTACAAACAAATCGCATTTTTTCACAAATTGGCAGAGACAGGAAACAGTTTTTATATTGCAATTAAGTGACAGTTGTTTATTTTTTTAGTTTCTCGAGAGAGCTTCAGCGTAGACGGCATTTATTGTACAATCCAAAATGCCATAGAAGTTGTCCAGAAATTTATAAATACATAATAATACAAATTAATTGTAATACTACAATATTGACATAGGCATGTATTAAATTTGTAAGCAATTGCAAAACTGTGCAAACAAATAGTTGCAAATAAAATAAAATACTACAATATCTTTCGAATCGTTTTTCCTGCTATTTTCATGATGGAAAATTATTCTTTTTTCTCCTATGCTGTTATGTATAGATGAGTTGTTGTCCGATCATACATATATCTGAGTAACTCTTCGATCAAGCAGGATATGTCCAAAAATCGGAGACGCATTTAACCTTCTTTAAAGTTAAAGTTATTTATAGTTCGTTCGACGCCCGCAGCTATTTTGCAAGAGAAGAACAAAACCAAAGCAGTGGTGAGTTGCGCAGACAGGTTTTCTCTTCTTGTACGGTGAGAACGGTACTCACCACGCGGTAGCTGCACAGGCTAAAAATTTAGCACGAGCACATGACGCAATTGAGCGAAACAAAGAAAAATCAATGAATTTTGAAAATTTTGCGATTCACGTTTTAATAGACCAATTCATATATACGAGTAACACCCAGTAATTTGTAACACTAGACGTTTGCATTTTGCTTAATCCACGATCTCAAGGCACCCACATATGTGTACATAGCGGGGCGTCCCTTTGCGCCGCAGCCAAATCCCCAGGATACAACGCCAAATAGTTTGCCATCGACAGTCAGAGGACCGCCGGAATCGCCTTGGCATGCGCTCACTTGTCCGCTTGGATGTCCAGCACAGATCATGCGGTCGGTGACTCCCGGAATGTTCTGTGCGTTGCAATAGTCGCGACTCCAGAGCTGCACTTGCGCGAATTTTAGGCGATTCGGGAGCTGAAGATTGTCATTGATGGCGCCAAAGCCGCTGATGGTGGCCAAGGTGTCGGCCGCATAGTTGGCATCGGCCGGAGCCAACTCGATGCTCTGCACGGAACCACCCATCGAAACCGGCGTGCTCAGACGAATGAGCGACATATCGAAGTCTTGGGTCTGCGCATTGTACTGAGGATGTATGATGAACTGGGCAATATTGTGGGTCTGGCCGGTGCCGGAGCTTAGATCGCTGGTGCCCACAACCGCACGCATCTGTGCCGGATTCTGGCCCTTGGTGCAGTGGGCAGCAGTTACAATCATGCTGTCCGAGATGAGAGAGCCGCCACAATGATGGCGTCCGTTCAACTGCAGCGAAACCTGATGAGGAAATTGTCCCGGAGCAGCGAATTGGCCGCCAATGATGCGCGTGACGTCGGCCGAGCGAACAACACCGCTCGGAACGATCAGCAGGAGAGAAGCGACGAGAATGTTAAGCGGAGTCATTGCCGTTGGAAAGTGTGTGGAGTGTACCCCAAACTGGCGTATTTATATGTCTGGCAGTGACACAACTTATCGGCTAGGTCGAAATGGGGTGTGAATAGAGTCTTATCACACAAATAGCTGCGGGTGTCTTGACACAGTTCCACGTCTGTGCAAATTTCCAATGTGTGCCATTTCAGAAATCAAGTGCAAAGAACAGTCATTACTATTTTAATTGTGGGTGGCTATCAGTTTTGTGGAATGTCGTTTATTATCCAGTACATGTACTGGCTAGTTCTTCCTGTACTATATATGTAGGTGCAATGGGTAGATAAAGCGTAGATGAGTGCAGGGATTTTTAGGCGGTTTTGCGTTGGCCATTACTAATGACCCACAAGTTCTTCCAGCTCTCCCGTATGTAGCTGTTGCGATAGTTCTGCACCGATACCAATAGCTCCGGTCCAAATAGGGTCCGCACAACAATATTCTCCACGGCCATGTTTTTATTTGTGGATGCGTGCACCAGTATTAAAGGCGTATTGCTCTGATCAATGGAACGATTAGTAAATACCCGATACATGATTAGTTTGGAGTACTCACGGGCACGGGCTGAAATGTGGACTCGCAGCGGCTCTGGGGATCAACGTGCAGGCAGAACCAGTCTGTGAAGGCGAAAGGCACATCGCGACCGATGCCACATTTCTGCAAGGCATGCATAGCTGATAGAGTAGGGGGATATAGTACGGCACTAATGCTACTTACGCTACGATGAACAAGACCCAATGGCAAATTAATTTCCCCGTTCTTCAACGAAACTGCGGAAGAGTTGATCGGATGCGACAAGTTGCACATTTTGGGTGCACTGTACACATAAATGGGATCATCAGTGGGCTCCATGCACTGCAAACGAAAGTGCTCTCCATATCTGATAACCTTGCTGGTCTGATCGATTTTGTTGCTCCTCAAGATGCGAAAGGAGTTGCGCACCAAACTCTTATCCGACGGCGCAACGGTCAGTTCGCAATCCTCGTTCACCGTTTGGCTGGTGTGCACTCCTCGCTCATTGACGACTACCGAGAGTGCCGGATTTATTTCGGAGGCGTCCATATCGCAGATGTTCAAGCTTGCAGGCATCACCTGCACCACAGAGTCATAGCTGATATGCATCTTGGGCGCATCCAGCTCGACATCCTTGTAAAAGTTGTCATATAACTCGCGTGTCTTGACCGCCAGTAGTTCGCGCTTGTCCCGTTGCCTCTTAAAGTAACGCAGCTCATCCTACACATAGCACCATTGACTAGAAGCATTACTCACTACTATAATATCGTTATTTACCTCCTTTAAATATAAGTCCTCCACCCAATTACCCAGACGCACAGGTGCCGAGTAGTGGTTTCCATTTAGGTTCATCACCGCGGAACTGCAGGGCATCTTAAAATAAGTATGCGCTCTTGTAATCGTGTATCCTCTAGCTTCGTTTTTTTATGTTTTGTGTTCGTGGTGTATATTATGTATTTAGGTCTATTTATGTATATGTTCAACTCTATACCACCTAAAACTTTCGAGAACTCCATAATATCAAGGCTTACTGATCAACCTTTATTACTACATACTATATACTATACTTGTAGTTAATAGATTTTTAGATAAATAAGCTGATCAATAATTATATCAATTATTAAATTGCCAAAAGATTTTATTAATTTCTTCAGTAAAATTATGAAAACATAACAAAGAGAAGCATCGGAAATGTTTAGCCAAGCCACAAGGGAGTTGATCTTCCTTGATCTCGTTGTTATCGGTTTTTCTAGAAGAGGACTGCCGGATTTACTAAGCCCCTTATGCTAAGACGTAAGTAGTACTACTTATGCGAAGAAATAAATCAAAGTTTAAGTGTTTACGCCATTTACAGATTATTTGTGTCGTTCCTACTGAAGAACTGACGTACAAAAATCGGATGTTTCTGTTTTTATTGCACTTTCTACCCGAAGTTGCGTAAATAAGGTTTGCTGTTACACGTTTACGTTTTAACTTTGTAGTTGGTGTTATTAATTAATATGATATCTAATAAAAGTGCAGTTCGTTTTTAAGTGTGCTTCAGACCACCCCCGATCATCCACAGGTTCTTCCAGGTCACCTGCTTGTACACGTTGTAATAGTTCTGCACAGATACCAAAAATTCCTCCCCAAATAGGGTGTGTATGGAGACATTTTCCACTGCCAGATTCTTGTTTGTCACCGCATGCACAATAAGTACTTTGGAATTGAACTGGCGATCGGAAAAGATTACTTCAGGAGTACTTGTACATTACTGGGTAGAAACTTACGGGAACGTCTTTGCCCTCGCTTTCGAAACGCCTTAAGGGATCGAAATGCATGCAGAACCAATTCGCATGGGCGCTGGGCACATTCTGGCCAGGACCGCAGTTCTGTGAAGTGATAAAAATAGTTGCAGGCGACAATTGGATCCAATTGCGATCCTAAATTACTCACGCTGCGATACACGAGGCCCAGAGGATTGTTCAGCTCGCCCCGCTTGGTGGAACTGAAGTTGGTTTTTATGGGATGCAGCAAATTTGTAAATTTGGGTGCGCTGTACACCCAAATGGGATCGTCATTCGGTTCGATGCACTCCAAACGGAAATGTTGCCCATACTTAAGTACCTCGTTGGTGCGATCTTTCTCGTCGCCACTGATAAGGCGGAAGCAGTTGCGGACACAGGGGCGGTCCGAAGAGGCAACTGTCAATTCGCACTCCTCGTTGATGCCCTCACTATGCATCAGGACCCGTTCGTTGATGATAACCGAGAGTGCGGGATTGAACTCGGAGGTATCATGGTCAGCGATATTCAAATGCAGAGGCTTCACTTGCACCACACCGCCGAATTTCAGGTACTCAGTTGAGGCGAATGTGATTTCTTTATAGAGGCGGTCGAAAAACCTACGCGTCTTCTCAATGAGCAGTGTGCCCTTACTGTGTTTGCTCTGGACTTGGCGAACGTTATCCTTACGGAAGAAAATCATAAATCAGTTTAGGTAAGTGACCGACCTTGTTAGCTCACATTTGTGTGATTACCTCTTTCAGAAATCTGTCCTCCACCCAATTCCCCATGAGTGTTTTGGGTCCATACCGACTCGATCCCGAATCAAGCAGTATATGGATGCAGGGCATTGGGTTTGTTTGTATTTGTATTTATAGAGATAGGTTTTAGAATTGCTTAGTTTCTCGAGTAATATATACATGTGGCATATTTTTTATGTTGATGTTTATTTTAAATGATATCAGGCTAACTGAGATAACATTTAAGAATCGGTGGAGAACCTATATACGTTTTTCATCACAAGCCAACCTCGCTACATTGTTGTTGTTTTGGGATTGTTAACAATTTTACGATTCTTATAGGTTTTTAGAAGATTTGCAGATTATTTACATACAAGCAATGGGGGGATTCGCCAGGTAATTTCGATTTGCGGCAAGTAATTCATGATTACTGATTTTATATTATAAATAAAAGTAAACTTCTATTCAGTTTTTGTTTAATTATTATTTGCTTTTATTTTTTTTTTTTCTTGGACGTCCCACTACTAGTATCTATTTTACAAATTAAAAGTATATCACGAGTATCTACAGGCTTTACATATGTTTCCTTTTTTGCAGAAATGCCAGGTGTTACCACAAAGCCCATCCAACTGGGATGAAATGTGCATTCAATCCGAATTTGTGGTTTTGTCAGAAGTAATACCTCGATCGGTGCAATCGCTTTTTATCTGTGCTATTTTCTAGTCCCAAACAATCTTTGCAGAAGTTTAGGTTCCCCCGATAATACATTGAATTTGTTAGTGCGGAACCCTTTTAGCGTTCGTCTGGTGGCCATTGCTAATCATCCACACATTCTTCCACGTCTCACGCCTGTAAATATTGCGGTAGTTCTGCACCGACACCAAAAACTCGGGCCCAAATAAGGTCTGTATAACAACGTTCTCAACTGCCAGGTTTCTGTTGGTGGCCGCATGAACAATGACAATAGGCGAATTGCTCTAGTCGAGAGATGAGCTAAGAATTAGCTTCATAAATTAAAGTCCACAGAATGCAAGACTTACGGGCATCTCCTTGCCTTCGCTCTCGAAGCGCTTGTTGGGATCAACGTGTATACAAAACCAATTCGAATGAGCGGTGGGAACATTCCGTCCAATTCCACAGTTCTACGAAACCATCGAATACAAGTATATCGTATACCGAGTGAATTTTAAATATCGGAGAGCTACTCACGCTGCGATGAACGAGTCCAAGGGGATAATTGACCTCGCCCTGCTTATGTGAGTCGAACGTTGTCCTGATGGGGTGCAAAAGGTTGCATTGCTTGGGGGCGCTGTACAACCAAATGGGATCGTCGACGGGCTCCACACACTCGAAACGAAAGTGCTGGCCATACTTGAGGACCTCATTCGTGCGATCGGTGCTGTCTCCACTGACAATGCGAAACGAGTTTCGCACACACGAACGATCCGAGGGCGCCACGGTCAGTTCACACTCCTCGTTGATGCTCTGGCTGCTCCGAACCACCTGCTCATTGATGATTACCGACAGCGCCGGATTCATGTCGGATGTGTCCACATCGCAGAGATTCACGTAGATCGGCATGATCTGCACCACAGCACCAAAGCTCAGATGCTTCTTGGGCGCATTTAGCACAACCTCCTTGTGGAAGTTATCGAAGAGGGCTCGTGCCTTCTCCACCAGCAGTTCCCCGCGATCTCTCTGCCTTTTGAAGACATTTTGCTTATGCTGTCCACAATTTGGCAATTCAAGAATACGAGTATATATATATCTAATATTCAATATACTGCTTACCTCTTCTAGGCACGAGTCCTCGTACCAATTACCGATCCGCACACTTGGACTAAAGCGGTTCGAGCTCGTATCCAATAGAGCAGGTGTGCACGGCATTATGGCTGGGTTTGGATAAATGTTGATCCCCGAATCAAAAGGATTTAAACCGAACGCAAATAAAACTTGTATTCTTGACTAATGTGTGAAAACAAATGAATAATTTGGAAAACTAAAACATGTTCAAGTCAGTGGCTACTTGGGAAAATAGTTTGTTAACTTACAATTGCTGCTTAAACAGGCATGATAACTGTCTAGGGTCTAGGAACATGCATTTATATGTGTATCACATTAAGCTCCTAATCTACATTTAAGTTTTTATGTGAGTTAAGAATATTGTGCGTAGTATGGAGGAATCCTCAGAATTTTTGTTGTTATTTTTTCTCTGTTTGGCAGAGTAGAATGTCTAAATTTGTTGATCGTACTTGTATTTGCATACCTAATAGCCTTTCAGATACACATTTTAGCGATAATTGTGAGTTGTCAACAATTGTCGGTTTGAAACAATAACAAAGGCAATATATTATGCTCTTATCATTTTCATTATACCCTGTACCCAAAGGGTACAAGGGTATATTAGTTTTGTGCGAGTGCACATGGAACACACAGAAGGAGGCTTGGTAGACCCCACAAAGTATATATATTCTTGATCAGCATGACAAGCCGAGTCGATATAGCCATGTCCGTCTGTCCGTCTGTCCGTCTGTCTGTCTGTATGAACGCAAGGATCTCCGAAAGTATAAGAGCTAGAATAACCAAACTTGGTATACAGATTCTCCTGAGACCGAGAAAGGACGAGTATGTTCATTTTTTCTGATCCACCCCCCCACTCCCCCCCTATTACCGATTTTCTATAACTCCCGTAATTCTTGGAATTTTGAACTAAAATTTGGTAGTCACATTAGGTTAGTAATTATACCAAGTATACCAAGTTTCATTATGATAGAATGATCGGAAAGAAAGTTATAGCCATATAACCAGGCCCAATGCACACATACATACATATGTACAAGTACACAAACACGCATAAGGCACGATTCTGATGTAAATGTAAATGTATGTATGCATGCATGGAATATTTTATATTTAATTAATTAATATTTAGTTAATTAATTAAATTAATTTAGTTAATTAATTTAATTAAATTAATTAATTAATTTAATTACTTTTTTGTGGGGTGGTACAGGGTATTTAAGAGTTGAGCCTGCTCGACTTTAGCATTCCTTTCTTGTTTTATCCTCATTTTATTGGTTAATAGTAAGTACATATAAACAGCACGCAACTTTATCGCATGATTGAAAATGCTGAGCAAATAATTGAAGCATACTTTTGGGAGCTGTGCAAAATTTCAGCAACTGCCTGCTGCGTGAACGCATGGGGCGTATGCGTAATAAGTATCAGGCAGTACTCGGCGCACTATAAATTTATTAGTTATTATTTATATGTTCTGGCCCCAACGAGATAATTGAACCCCATTTGTTTTCCCGCCTTGTTTGCAGTCAACAGCAGAAATGATACGAGTCAGGCGACAGCCATAAATCCAGAGACTGTCGCAGTTCTAAACAGCCACATCACCCCGCCCAGGCACAGACTCTTCACCCACAGCCGATAGAGTTGACAAGATAAGCTAAGTTAAGAGCTTTATTAACGCTCTATTGTAGGTTCCACGCCTTTAATATTGTTTTTGTACTTGTTGAGCTGTGCACTTCACGTGAACGTGCACAGAGCTCGGCCGACTGTCACGTTTCCTTATCAATGGTTGTGCGTGTACAAAACAAGTAGAGTGCTAGTCAAATGGAGTGCACAGACTGTCGCAAATTAGGCTATTTATATGAGCATTAGTTGACATATTATTTTCATACTATATTGCCAAAACCCAAGCACTTATTACCTCAGGCCGCTTATTGGACGTTATCGGCACTGGTTCAAATGGCTCAGATTTATATATTTCGATTGGGGGGTGTACTAAAATTTATTGCGCAAGAACTCTTTTGCCATTTCGTTGCTTTCCGGCGAAATTGGGTAACTTTTTCGGTCTTATCGTAATTCTATGTTTTTTTGGTTTCTGAAAAGACACAAACTTCCGTTCAAGCAAGGATGAGTTACCATAGTTGGCCCCGTACTGCTCCAGGCTGGTCACCTCGTGCGATGGAACCTCGAGCTGTTGAACGCGACAATCGGCACGCAGCACACAACCGGGCAGGTCTTCATCAATAATATAGCCTTGTTTGCAGACGCAGGGACCGCCACAAATACGGGGCGGGCAGCCTCGCGACTTGTACTTGCAGGTCTCCTCGCAACGGGACGAGCAAAATGATATCGTCCCATTCTGACCGCAGTTCAGCCAATTCGGATACGGCTGTCTGGGCGTCGTATAAGGTCTGTCGTAGTCAGTTTCCGTGGCCATGGACATAGCCAAGCACATACTGATGGCTGTGAGTGCAAGTCTCGAACTGCACAGCAAGCTGATCATTTCAAACTGCTCGACGTAAAATGGGAACACAGCTCTTTTAATTGCATTGGACACAGCTGGTACCCAAGTGTTGGACTGCCGATTCGACGCATTTCAGTTCTGCAAAGCAACTGGCAACTTACACTGAAATTTATAAAAAGAGCAGTGGAACTGAAATAAATAATATAACGATCTGAGAAACTCCCTTCATCAGTGTCCTTCATGTCTATGCTACTGACAAGGTCAGTCTTGTCAAAACCTGTTATCGTGAAATGCATGGCCCTAGTAAGAACTCTACACACCTCTACCTTGGGAAAAGTACGCAAATTTTAAATTGGAAGCATAATTTGGATACCAACTCATTTAAAGTTGGGCCTAATTTGAAAAGGCTAAGTATTTTAAGATAACTATTTATTTCTAATGCAATTTAAACTAAATTTTTCTATACTTTCTTATAACATATTTAAAGAAATATTTCTTATAAAATATTTTCAATTTTTTTTATTTTTTTTTTTCTACAATGGTTCGACAATTATTAACGAGTATTTCGAGACACCCAGCTTTAGCTTCTCCACTTGATTTCCTTTCCATTTTGAGAGATTGGAGTTTATTTATTTATACTTTGTGCTTTGAATCGGGGCCTAAGCTGGCCGATGAGCAATTTATATATCTACTGTTATTTTTAAAGCTCCTCTTTACCTTTTTCCGAAAATTAAAAAAATAAATAAATTATATAAATTATATAAATCCATATTCTTAATCTGTGCTTGACATTTTAAAACGATCGCGTTTAATATATATATTCAATGCTTCCATTTTACAAGTTTTATTTAATTAATTGAGTATAAAGAGTATTGATGGGTATGTTAGCTATGCATAAGCTACTAGCTTCTGTTCCATTGATTTTTCTTTTAATCCACATTAAACAAATAAAAAAATTGACGTCATTTTCAGTCGTCCATATGTTTTTATTTGTATTCCCTCGCCACTTTTGCTTCACTTTTTTGTTGAAACACGTAAACTCGGGCATAAAATTGTTTTCTGATTTAAAATACAGTAATAAACTGGTTAAACTGGGTAACAGGTGGTAAAATTATATATAACAATTACGTTTTTTGGCTTGTCGAGTTGAGTGATGGAGCTTGGATGTTGTATCCTCCTATCCCATCAGGGGGAAAAAATATGATCGCAATTGAACAAATTAGATTTAAATTGATATAAATGTAGCTACATTAAGCCATTATCAAGCTTGTATTTGAAATTATAAGCACTGATCTGGAAAAGTATAACATAACATGCTACAGCGGACCCTTATACTTACACTTCCCCTGATACTGCATGCTACAATTAAACGAACTGCTTGACACTGCTTGCTCAGCGGAAAGAATGGTGTTTCCGGTTAACGTCAGAAATAACCACAATTGATGGTTTTGCGTCACGCTTTTAAACAAGTTTAAATTTTTAGATTCATCCCACAATGAGTTAAGAAGCAAGAATGCATTTCATGATACCTTGTTTGTTTTGGCAATTGAAAGAATGCCAAGACTTGTTATTTGAATATACTTAGTATGTATATATGATGACGATCTTTTTTCGTTTGCTCTACTTTACAAGTCTCCTCAAAAGATTAGTATATTTAAAGAATATATCACCTTCTCCAGTTGAACTCTCAGCTGTCCCTATTGAGTCACAATAGCAGAATTCTATATAAATGATGTGTGTGTTTGCGGATCTTAAACACAAATTTCAAATTGTTGTTCACCTGGCAACATTTTGTTTTGCTTTTTAGTAAATCCATTTACAAGCGCACTCACTTTGTTTTGACGAGCCCCATAAATTACGCACAAATAATAATCGCATTGTTATCAGATCAGACCCAAGAAGGAGGCACATCACTAACTGCGTCAAGCGACAGGCCCATATACGACTTACATTTATTTAAGCAATTCCGTCACAATTGGAGATGGCGTTATATTATTAAATACGCCTAAACAAACATTATCTATTGGTGCGTCACTAAAGTCATCAAAGGAAGATGAATTGATATGATAAACTCACACGATTTTAATCAATATTTAATTTAGAATGAGTTAAATTTCGCACAATTCCCGTTTATTAGCTATTGAACAATGATGTAATGCATATGTGTTTGTGTGCTAGTTTGTTGAAGTGGCGCTTCATTAGACTAATCAAATTCAGTTTCAACGATCGGTAGGAATCGATAAAGATGCACTTAAAATTGTCAAATACATCATTATTGGCAGATAAGATGTCTTCCTATACACTATACTTAAAAGTTGAATGGGGTTATAGATTTCTGCGAATTTACTTGGGTGTCGTCCAGTAGAATTCGAGACACAGAGATGTATTTAACAGCAGGAATAAATCTTACAGATTACTTCCAAGGCCGCACTTCCCACCTATGACAAAGTATATTAGATTCTTTTTCAAAATTAGAAATTACTGTTTCAATAGCATTCATTTTATGAAATGTCTGGGAATAGGGTATTTCAGAGACAGGTGTGTACCATTGATGTTTATTTTATTTTATTTTTTTTTTGAGAAGCATAGGCATGTGATCGCCGGTGTATCTTTTAATTTGCCCAATCAATTGGCCAAACAAACCAAATTGGTCTACTGGCTACTGTTTAAAGTATTAATTTGATATTTATGATCCCAGCACGAGCGATCCATAACCGCACAGCAAAAATCACTTTGATAGCGACTTCAATATGACGGGGGCTGTGGCTTGTCCCAGCAATGCTATTCCATACATAAGATAAGCCCCGGTCAATAATTCCCTAGCTCTTAATCAACTCGATTGCTTATCGTTATGGCACTTAAAGATGTTAAAGGTATGCCTAAGACGAGAATCGTAAGTAAAAATGCCTATTACATACATACGAGTGTACATGTATGTGTGCTAGTATGTTGGTCCGCTTATATATATGTATGTACTATGCATATGTGTATCTGTAGGTAAGTAAATATAAGTCACTTTTTGCACATGCCAGGCAACAGCTTTGGAACGAAAATCGTGAAATTGGCATGATAACTTGCGTCAATAGTCGTGTTTACAAATCTGTCAATATTGTAAAAGATGCATGCCAGCCTGCCTATCTGCCTGCCTGCAATTAGATATAACCCACTAGTCTGGATTAGGGCATTGGGCGGGGGAGATCGCCCTTATCTGCAAATGGTCGCGCGTAATTTTGTTGGCACAATGAGGCAATGCTTCATTTTTACCTTTATGATGACTAGCCCTGGGCACGATATGCCGACCACAGCCTGCGCGTGAGCACGTGAAGTACAAAGCGTGCGGAGGCAGCAGCCACCATGTTAAAAAAAAAGAGAATGCCGGAGAATGCGGCAGCAGAGCGCAAGTGCAACTCTAACAGACAATTCGACAAGGTATGGCAATAAACGCCGCACATTTTTTATTCTCGCTCTCATATGCTGCCCATTAGCCATGTAAGAGTCAGGTGTCAGATTAACGTGTCTCTCCCAATGTGATTCCCTGTAATTTGTGATATCTTGCCTACCCCTAGTACCGATATTTTTTAATGAAGCTAAGCTAAGCGGGATGATAATCCTCCCACACTAAATATCGACACTTGTATATCCCGAACCCGAAAGGATATACTAGTAACTTGTACTTGTAAATATGATCAGCATAAGGAGACCTATAAATATTGATCCATAGCTGCTACAGTAACAAAACAAACTAAAGAAAGAAACTAAACGAAAAGAAACAAATACGGCTTTTTCATCCGAATTATTAAGAGAAAATGGAAATGTGGAGATGTGGAAATGTGTGTGTAGAAAATTCGTATAATTTAAAGATAGGAAAAGTTTATTAATAGTTGTCGAAGAACCAATGGAAAAATGTTTTTGAAACAAATGTTTAGGGCCTATTAAGCCTACATAAGAGTCGAAATGACGCGACTTTATCGCTGTACTTGTTTATTTGAATGACCTATTTAGACGCCTGTGGCTAAAGCAAAAAGTCACAGTGCAAACACTATGGCTTCGACATGGAGCTCATTATGACGTAATACGAAAGAGAACAGTAAAGAGCGAAGCTGCGCATTGCCAAGCCTTCTAGCTTCTTTGTACCATGGTGCAGAGCTTCGAGCCGCTGCGCTCTGAGAACAACCTGTTTGTAATTGCAAACAGAGCAAAGGAGAGCCAAGAGCGCTAAAGGGGTACGCTCACGTGCCAAAGTCAAGGCATAGCTCCGACATAGACATGTTCATGATCATAAAACACTCACTTAATTGTTTATAACTGTTGATACTTGTATAAAATATTGCACAGAAACACTGATGAACTATACAACATGCAGGGCTAACACACACGGCCTAAAGCCATCCAGCCATCCAGCCATCTACTGCTCATTATCGCCCCCATCATCAACCGCCGGCAAGTCACGAAGTTGTCGTTGGCTCGTCGTTTGTCGCTGGCATCATCGTCGACGTTAGCGGCGAAGCCGACGGCGGCGTCAAATATGACGCCGGAGCGCTGGGTTGTTGGTAGTGTAACTGTTGTTTCAATAAGAGTGAAACAACATTATAAAAGCGTTCAATTAGCGCAGTTGGTAAGTCAAGCGACAGCGCTTGGCCAGGCAACAACTCGTCTCAGGCGGTCTCAGTTGTGATTGCAATAAGAAAGTCTCAGTGGATCATCCATCAGTCATCGCACTTATGTACATATATACATATGTATATACATATATCTAGTATACTCGTACATATATATAATAAGGCGTGCGCGTGGTGAAAATCGTTTCGATTCAGAGCAAGAAGTGCTTAAATAAAATCCGAACATATGTGTTACAATGCAAAACTGTTTTGATACGAACAATAACAGTTGAAATAATTATCGTCGATACTTAGTATCAGAGCAACAAGAAAAAAAAAGAAAGAACAAGCCGTTTGCTGCTCTGGCTTCTGCTTCTCATTCCGTATAGAATTCGTTTTTGGTTCGCTACGCTCGCTCTCATACTTGTTTTGTGTTTTGTGCCCTCGTTCGTTAAGGGCAAGGACAGTGAATAAATTAAATACAGCTGATTTCCTCTCTGTGTGCTAAGGTGAGTGATCTTATCAAGATTTAGCCTAATTCTAGTTGTTAATTACTTAAGCATGTTATAACTAAATTGAATTTGTCACAGTCGGGTGTATAGTATGTACTTACATATAGTATATGTATGGGCACTTAATATATATCACTTGGTTATGCAAATTACTCGCCTCAGTGTTCGCGTCAAAAAACTCATTATATTCAAGGAAGTTAAACAGCATTTAAAGGTGTAGTTTTTAAGAGCCTTAAATTATTACTGAGCACCTTGTTTTTAGCAGCTGGCAAATAAATAAGTAAATTGGTATATTTTATGTAAAAAGAAAAACAAATGTATTATGTAAAAGGTCCACCACTATTACACTTTTGATGACTTATGTAATTTAATTGCTATATAAGCAATTAAATACTTACATAAGCAGATTTTATTCATTCGAATTGGTAGTGTAAAAAACAAAGCCTAACAATAGTACTTATTAGTTCGTTTATGACTAATTCTGGATGCAAAATTTCAAATATTTTTATTGGCTTGTGATACTGCATACTCTTATAATACAAGAATATTAAGAAAATTAAGTACTCTCCGACACGAAAATAAAAAATTTAATAATAAAGAAATGAGGTCTTTGAACTTCTTATCTAAAGAACAGCAAGTTCTCCACATAATCGTTTTCCGTAGATACAGCTGCATTTAGTTTATGCTAGCATCAAGTGATTGAATAAATAAAAACAATTTAACAACAAATTCCCCTCTAAAACCCACAATTGCCACTTGGCCCCACTCCTTCAATCAAGAACCACTCGTGTCGGTCATCAAATGCGACTGCACTTGAACTTGAAAGGTGAATTGCAATACAAAATTGAATAAACGAAAGCACACAACAATCACACACACTTACACATATATGCAGGCAATGAAAATAAAGTTCACGTATATTGCAGCGGAATTGCGACAATTAAATTGTGGATATAATTCAAATTAATTACGAGCATTTGAATGAAATAGAAATTTATCGCAGCATCATGGCATCGCAGCATCGACTGCTACTTTATGGTGAATTGTTAGCCAGTTTATGGCTGTGCCATAAAAACCTAAAAACAGTGACAAAACCTGCACGTGAAGTGCATGGGATGCCATATATACTCATATATAGAACACGATAGGCAACAATGATAAATAGACTCGTAATTAGGAGGGAGACAGACGTGAAGGCTCATTCGCAGGCGGAAAGTTTTTCAAGCAATAAAAAAATATTGGCAGCAGGGCGTTGAGAGTGTCGTTGTTAACACCTCTGGCGGAATGTCTGTCGGTTTTTATGGTACTGCGATAAACTTAATCAGTTCAGAATTTTACAAATTGCTACACTAGAACGTGTCTGGGGCAAAATCGTCTATGGCCCATTATATATGTTTATGATTATTGGTTGACTTTACAATTTGGCGCACAATTTTGCTGAATGTGCGCGCGCTGCCACAAAAATCTGCTGACTAAAGACAATGCGGCCGTATCAGGTGCACGTGCATCTATTGTGGCAAACCATCATAATTCCCGATTAGTGCGAAACTATAGCTCGGCCTTATCTAACCGGTTTTTCGTATTTGAACTTGTACATTGGTCACGAGCCAATCCAAATCCAATTCCAATTCCAATATATTCACCTTTATCGGGGGGCAGTTCAATTGTGGTTGATTTATAGGAAGCTCGCCAACTGGTAATAAAATCCCTACTTGTGTGGTCATTTCTAGATAAATTTAATTTGTTGCTTCTTCCATCATATAAATCTTTCAAAAGTCCAGAAAATTTATGGTTTTAGAGCACATTTGTAAATCATAATCATATTATGACCAACTAGTTGCCAATTCGTCAGCAATCAGTCAACATTATAGCCATAAATGTGGTTTATGGTCTTCAAGAAACCCACAATAGGTCCGAACAAATAGCCAATCGCCTCCACTTAACAACCTAATTTCCGCTGTCGAGGACGTTTCAAGGCGCAGATAAGATTGAAATTCAACTATTAGAATCACTTTTAGTTATTTATTTATAGACATTTTACTTAACAACTTTCCACAATGTAGATTTAGTAATCTTACCATTTACTATCCTAGTTTTCACTAAACTAAAGCTTAAGTTTCATTTTCTAATTGTGTTGTTAACTCATTACAATAAACAAATCATATTGTATAATTATTAAGAACTTATTAAGAACACTTTTTTGTCAAACGAACTCCGTTTACCCGATTGAAAGAATACACTCAATTAAAATCTACCAAGGAATGCTTTATTTTGCCAGTTAACCAATTTATTCTTTAATCGAGAGAAAGCATTGATATAATTAATATATAATATATAAGATATAATAATTCATTAAGTCTCGAGTGTGGTTCCCGGCTTGCGTAAAAGGATTCCAGTTTCTCATTAAATGCAATATTTAACATTGAATGTGGAATTAAAATAGTCGGCTTAATTCGCCAATGAATTTGCAATTTATTACACTCATGTAATTTTCATATTACTTACGCCATCCGACTAGGTATGCAAGTTAACGATTAGGCAGAGGTAATTGCTTCTTCAAAAAAATTGAAACGAACAAAATAATTAGCTTAGCTTCCGGGTATCTCCAGAGTTTTGCAGTAAATATCTATATAGCCACCTTATCGGCTGACAGATAGTTGAAGACTAAAAACGTGCTACGGCGTTTTCGTGGCGACAAATTTGCAAAATCATCGCTGATTTTTGAGGTCTTTCGTATTTTGTGAACAAAATTGGGCAGAATTTGCAAATTGTTTAAATTGGTAAATATTTCGTTAACAAATAAGTGCGAATGCCATATGCGAGAGTATTCGACTTAGAGATACTTTTTCTTGCAGCTCTCTATTTTGAAATTAGTATGAAATGCCTTTCAGGTTTTACACTTGATATGTGGTATAAGTATACTCGTTTAAGGGAGTTGTGTCCATAACAATTGAAATAGAATATAGGTCTATATATAATATAAATTTATTTGATCTGGGTATTATATGAATATTAATTTGTTCTTTCGGTAATTGTCATTATTAGTATTATGCCATTAAGTATCGTTTTATATGGGCGAGCTTTTTTGCGACACTCTGCTTCTACATTAACGTGTGCGGGGAGAGTACATTTCTCAGAATTTGATTTAATCTTTATAATGAGCAGAAATATAAACAAATCGGACAAGTTCCTGTAGCAGTTTTTTAAAAATCGATTTTATTGTTGACTTAAAACAAACAAGAAACAGAATGATAGACAGATGGTCAGACCACAGGAGAGATAAATTTACGTATACATAGATAGGAAAAAACAGATAAGTAGTTCTGCCAACAGGCAGACCCGACTGCATGGACATGTCTGGTCGATTTTATATATTAGCATTTTCCATTTGATTGGTATATTGTTACTATCCATATAGTGCCTACCATGACTATTTTCAACGGTTTAATGAAATAAATCATATAGACTATAAGAAGCAATATACCAGTATGTGTCTCTGACCTTCAACAATGTAAATAAATCAAAATTTGAAATATTTTCTGCAATATAGAAATCATTTGGATAATTTTATAACTAAGTGCTACAATTTGACCAAAACTTCCAAAACAACAACAACAATAAATTATGTACATACATATGTTATAAAAACTTTCCAAAATTGAATCGGGTTCGTACAAACAACCAATTAAAATTCCAAACGAACCAGCAGTCGCACAGTGTTTTTTGCGATTTAAAAAAATAAAAATAAATAAAAAACAAAAACATATTTATTGTCATAAAACTTCGAAGAGTTATTTATGGGGTTTTGACTAAAAATTCGTGCGAAACGTAAACAAGTTTTGGCCAGCTAAGAGACAGAGAGAGGGATAGAAACACAACAAACAATTACATCATCACGAGTACATACATACATATGCAAAATTTGTTATTATGTTTCAATGTAAATACATACATACATATGTATCAAAAAAGTTACTTCCACCTTATGAGCTGTTAAGTAATTACAATACAATTCAGATCAGTGAAGCAGGTCGTACATATTCGTATTTGTGTACATACATACATATGTATATCATAATTGTTATAAATATTGACACAGCTTATGCCAAAAAAAAAAAATAAAGATATCGAGGCCAGACATTGAGTTTTATGGCTATTTAAACAAAAATTAAGGTCCTATTTTCACCATGATCCGAACTTATTTTCAACATAAGCTGTCTTTTGAATATTTGCGTTGGAAATTAAAGCTATACTAGATATAAATAGGAGTACAGATTACGAGTATCACACACAATTGCTGCCCACGCAATGCTGATAATCAGTTTTCGCAAATCAGCAGAAATAATTGTTATGAATTGTTTCGATAAATATGCAACAACAAATTGTAGATATACGAATAGATGTGTGTTAACAATAAAAACGTGCAATTGTCGTTGACAAGGCAAGAAACCTGTGACCAAAGACACGTTTGATTTGCTTAATCAATTGCAGCTAAATATATACATACTTGTACATATACACATATCAGAATAATTTGTTGTTTGCTTTTCTCTGCTTGCAGATTGACACAGACGGGCTCTACAATAAGAACTACAACAACAACTGCTGAGGCAAGCACACACACACACGCACACACTTTAAACGGTAAACGCACAGAAGCTTTGGGAACTACAAGAGACGGGGAACGCATGCGCAAAGCACCGTCAGAGACAAACATACGAAGAAGCCTAACAAAACAAAATAAATCGTGTAAACAGCAGCTGAGCAGCTGAGCAGCCGACGCCGCCGTGAAAGCAAAATCTCAATCTCAGTCTCGCAGCCCCATAGTCTCCGCTGCTTATTTAAAACGCCGACGCGGCAGCAACAATCAATCAGAACATTTAAAGCCGCTCAGCGTGCAGCATCGCATGCCGAGCTTACGCAACAACAGCGAGTAAGTGTGGAAACACAGTTAGGACAGGCAGATTGCTTTCAAAGTGATTGCCGGCTAAATAAAAATAAATAAGAGAAGAGAATAATAATAAAAAAGTTGAAGCCACAAACCGACGTGCTTGCCCGATAAATTAAACAATTAGTGTTTTCATTCTGCTGTCAGCACTGACCAAACATTAGCAAATCAATTCACGAAGTTTTGCAATTTGCATTTCAATCGTTTATTTCGATTGTGAAACAAAACCCAGCGAACAATCATCAAAGTGCAACGCGTGTTAAGCAATCGAATACAATCGCACTACCGATTACCAATTCGAAATACACACACAGAATCAACTTTAAAGAGATCTAATAAGCCTTAACACACAATCACCACAATGTCTACGTCCAAGGAACAAATATTTTCCAGCACAGAGAAGGATATCGAGAAACCTGAGCTTGGTGAGTAACACAAACTTTTAATGAACATATTTTAAAATAAAGATTTAGTTACATTAATCTTAGTATTGTTTAGTTAGTGCATCTTCGACCCTTCTATTGACAAACTGATTATCACTTGAGCTTTAAATCAACTTTAAAGCCTAGTTAGGTGAAGCAATGCTGGCTTGGATTTTGAAAATATTTACCGTCTATTCGTTCGTATTCTATACCTGATTAAATTAAAAAGTTATTTTTGAGCATCAACGCTGAGGGATTTTTATCGGGTTATGTATTAAAATGATCACCCGAGAACAAATCAATACAAATAATAATATAAAAATATATGTATAGTCGGGTGTGTTTTTAGTTTCACATTCTTAAACATATAGACATTTTACATATAAATGCATACATTTTGACATTTTGGAAAACAAATGCCTACCAGACTTACAAAAGTACGAGTATGTACTCGTATAGTATATAAAAAGACTCATTAATGTTTTTCTATTAATAATACAGACAAAACACTTTTAAATTATGTGATTCACAAATAGGAATAGTCTAACAGTTAAATGACTATTCTTTATTTATTCATTGAGGCCGCTAACGATTAACATCTGTATTTACATACTGAATACATATAATATAGCACAATGTTAACAAATAAGCTCAGAGACAGCGTAAAAGCCGATATAGTATGAACAAAGCTACCCGTTAAGCAACTTAACACGTTTTATTTCGCATTTGTCAACTCGAAAGTGCCATTGTAGATGATTTGAGCGCTCTTTTCAAGTCAAAACAAAGCATTAACCATTAACGGCGTTTCTAGCCCTGTTAATGATACTTCAAATGTTCAGAAGTTTCCGAAAATAAAGATACTAATTTGGACTAAACATATAAGATACAGATCCCACACTATTTAACCAATCAAAAGCTGATTTCCAATTGCTCTATTCCACTGTTAATTTGCACAATTGTCGAATTGTAAACCTAGGCTACCAATAATTGCGGTAAAATTAAAATTAGTTATGGCACGTATTCCAATATTCATGTGAGGTAAGGCTTTGTTGTTGACTTTGGTAATAATAATTCGTTATAGTAATGCACTATATGCATCCAGATTTTCAATGAAAAGTCTGCGATATTTTAGTGACATTATTATCTATTATTATCTATATCTATAATATTATTATTCTAGGCAGATTCTAATTTGATCCTTTACAATTAAAATTCTAGTCAAATACATACCTTTTTGAAATTGTAAATATTTTTTAATTTAGATCAAAACATATATGCATTAAATTATACAAGTATGTTATTCTAAATTTAAATTGAATTTAAAAACGAAATGATTGATAATAGTTATTTGACTTTCAAAAATCATATAAAACGTAGTCAGTAGTAACTGCGCTGGCAACTTATTTATGTAATTTGATTGCAGTAGCTCTCCGGACATGGACAATTTGTTGACAAATACGTATTGCGAAATGCTTAAGTAGAGTTGAAGCATAAGCGCAGTTGAAAACACTTTTATTATCATTTATTCACTCGGCTTGATTTAAATAAATTAATACATAATAAATACAACAGATACATAAACAGGCGACCTCCCGACGCACTTATACGATGATCAGTGAGAAACGGAAGTTGTTTGTTATTCAATTCTGTATTGCCTTAAATTTCATTAATGAAAAGTAACGCGACGCCAACGCGTGCCCAAAATTCGCAATTAGTGTGAGCTGTTGATTGACTGTGAAAGAATGTGAAATTCAATTATATTTGACGTGTTTATGTACTATATGTATGTATGCTTATATCTATAGTACTTACATACATTATTTCTGGCACAGCACTTATTTGTCGCAAGTATTTTCCTACATTGCCAAAAAACAAAAATCTCGCAGCTTGCCTGCACTTGACACAGTTCTTCAGAGTGGAGGCTGAGCGTTGGCAGTTGTTTTTGTTTTTTTTTTACTCGCCCTATATGGATGCAAGTCAACCGGTTGCCGGCACAGTAATTTCAACAAAAACCGTGCAAATGAACTCTGTTAGCACGGCAATAAAAGCAAAACTAGTTTTTTCATAAAAAACTCGAAACTGTAGTATATCGTGCTCACGATGTTAAGGTCAAAAACGCATGCATCTGGCTTGGCCCCCTCCCTCTCCCCATCGGCACTCTAGCGAGTTTAAGGAAATGTGCAATCAGCTGTAACACAAATACATATACACATTCAAATACATGCATAGCAACCTTGAAATTCCGCAGATTGTTAATTACTTTCGTAGCCATTTTACTTTCGTTGCGCTTCAAACTGTTAGGCGCTTAACAGAATGTAAGTTTTAAGAGCGCGCCAACAGTTAACAGCCGGTTCAAAGCTTAATTTGAACAATTTAATTGCATTAAATAGACGGAATATTTGTGCGCAGAAAAAAGAGATTTTTCATTGCACTTGGCAAGTTGACAAGTTTTCATAAGTTGGCGCTATTTGGCCCTGATATTGACATTCAAATGTGCGGCACTGACAGTATGTACTAATGTATTTTTGCGAAAATCTTGTATAACTTTTGATTTGATTTGCCATGCAACAGTTTCTTGGCACATAATCAAATTATACTTATTTTTTTAAATGATGTGCAATATTCGAAATCAAAGCGCTAATTTTCACACCGATGCGTCCAAATTACTTAAAGTGGTGAGTGGTGAGAAATCGTTGCCCCGGACAATCCCTAATTGAATTCCACCGATCCGATTTCAGTCGCCGGACTTGACTCAGAGCGAACGCCAGCTCACCCATTCATTCATCTCACTGCATAGCTGAATTTCAATTGTGCACTCGACACAAAAACAACAAACAAAAAACGAACATGCGATTCTAGGAAAATACCTCAAACACAAACAAAGAAATAGCTTAACGACTCAACAAAAGCAACCAGTTTAGCAGCACTGAAGATTACACTTGAGTTCAAAACGACTATATACATACTATATGTACATTTTATTTGATATATCCGCCCCAGCTCTGTCACGTCTGTGGCAATAATGCGATCTCAACCACTTTTCACTTGTCTTAAATTAGAAAATTGCGATTACTTGGAATTGTGCAAGTGAAATACATATACTTTAGTATTTTTATATAAAAAAAAAAAACAAAAGTGCCTACAGTGGGCAGCAAATTTAAAAAATTCAACGCCAATACATACTTGTAATGTTAAAATTGTAGCCAATACAAATTTGTGTTTACTTCCATAAATACCTGAAAGAGTTTATTTCTTTCACAACGCATTTAAGAATAGAAAGAACAGATCGACGGATACGACTATCAACTCATGGCTTAAGTTTTTCCAAATCAATTCCTTGGCACAATATTAAAGCTATCGTTTTTAATATTGAAGCATACTAAAAGCCCTTATAAAGAGACTTTATAGGCGAGATTTTATTTAGTTGTGAGCAGAGCTTTTTATGCATTGTGTTTTTTCTCAAACAAACACAGAACAATTTGACATCGTACCTATTGTTTATTTCACGTAAGCACAAATTTGTCAGCGACAATTTGTGAAACAAATTACTCATTTCATTTCCACTCTATTGCAAAAACTATTTATAGTTTCGCCTACTATTTTGGCACAACAGATCGGCAATTGAATCCAATTGAATGAAATTGCACGCTGGCCAGCTGTGAAAATTGAATGAACATCACGCAGAGAGCACGTTCGGCATTCCTTTTGACAATTTTCACAGATAATTACGATTTACTTATCCCTAAAAAAATAAAAATACTACATACATTCTAATTTTGTAACTTTATTCCACATTGCAATTAATTTACCCTTACACGCTGACAAAGTGCTTGACTCAGCGAGCACACAGTCGCCCCAATCCAGATATAATTGCCCGGGTTTATAAAATGACATCACTTTCCACATCAGCGACCCAATTGCTTAACTGGTCTGCTGCTCGCCAGCCACGAACGGGCCCAAAAAAGTTATTAACACGACAGGTGAAGTATTTGCGAGACATAAGTTAATATTAGCCCTGTCGGAGTCAAATCCGAGTCAAGCCGTCTCAGCTTCTTTAGCTGTGGCCAAATATTTGCTGAACTATTTTGCACCTGCCAACGCTTGGCGTGCTCAAATAAATTCATTTGCTTAAAACAATTGTTTTGTTTATGTTTTATGCATATTTATCTGGGGATCACATGTGCGCCCGTCAGAGCTTCATTTGGTATTCTTTGTGAAACGCGAACAAAATGAGCGGATTGATTTCTAACTTCTTATGTTCCCACACAATCAGCATGCAATAGAGAGGTAACATTTTTGCTTAATTATGTGAAAAATCAATAAGCGTAACAATGTCATATATAGTACATACTACTACATGTGCCAGAGAGCACAAGTTCTTAGTTAAATTCTAATCTATAGCTGCAACATAAACAGCACGTAAATATGAGTTTCGTCAATAAGTAGTGAATGCTACTCGTGATCTTTTGAATTTTAATATAAGCTGTAACATATTCCAGTTGATCCGAAGCAAGGCTTTGGAGTACGTGGTGTCTGTGTGTGTGAAGAAAAACACGAACATATTAAATATACTATGTATTTTGAAATACCTAAGTAGCTCCCGAATATTAAGCGCGCCCTAAAAGCATGCTACGATTCTTAGCCGGCACACAAACCACTGCTCAGGCATAAGCTTTTGAAGCACAGAGTACATACGTCATACATAATGGGGAATGATAGTTACTTTGTTGCTGTTGCCTTATCACTACACCTACATACATACATATGCCGGATTGAGCAATGAAATTTGTTCTGATTGTAGTGCCATAAATGAATATATGTATCTTAATTTTTCAAGCATTCCTAGGCCCTGCGTTTATTGCAAACAATTGATTCGTTTGTCAACTAACTACGCCCGACACAACTGTACTTTGCACATTTGCCAAAAACGAAAAAAAAAAACCAACAATAATTTCCACTGAAAAGCTTGCCAAAGTATAACGAAAGCATACTACTGTCTAGAC